TAGAAGTCTAAAACATTGCGAAAACACAAGCTGATGTGAAAATACATTTCCCAGCAGTGGAAAATGTTTGATTGATAATTATCATACAATGACTAAGTTTAAGTTACAGAAACACCAATGCACCACCAATATGTAAACAATGAATCGCATTTGACATACATAACCGTATCGCCCCGCTGTTATCATCTTAAATCCTGCTTCATATACAATTCACCACCATCCTTTAAGATTATTTCAGCTCGGTTACCACCAGCACCTCTTCACCAACCCATCGTGACCAGCGTGGTGAAGTATGGTCAAACAGCCCCCATGACCAAAACGGTGTTGGGGGGGGGGTGCTTTATCCACGTAGTTTCACAAAGGGCTGTAAATAAAAAGCAGTTCTGTTTCTCTTGCTACAGCTTTTTTAATATTTGTTTTTACATTTTCAGTACTGTACTGTACATGAGCATATTTTCAACTAAACTATTTTTATTTTACCAAGTAAGACCCACTGAGCTATATAGCGCTTTTTCAGAAGCGACCTGGCCACAAATGATAAGCCAAATAAGTGGTTTATCATGTGGACATTTATAGCAGCCAAATACTCTAAACGCGTGATGCCGATTCTAAACGTGGAGGGGAAAACCGGAAGACCCGGAGAAAAATCCACGCGACTACAGGGAGAAAATGAAAAATACATTGTCCTATTACAACTGTAGCCCATCACCTGGGTCATCAAGTGGTCACGTATCATCCCTGAACCACGTGGTTGGGCCGGCTCAGACTCTTATCCACAACATCCAGATATAGACAGCAGCGAAATAAAATAATGTGGGTTGCTTTTTGCTCTTGGGTTCCCATGATCCCAACAATGCCCTAAACATAACTTGACCTAAAACCATGACGTTTAAAGACGGGCAAAAGCGCGGTCTAGAGAACGTGTTCATGACTAAAACTGCACGTGGGTTTGGGAAGCACGTGTCGCTAGAAGAGATGGGGGACGATGGTGAAGGATGACGGGGAGTGACAGTGATAGAATGAAACGTGTCCGATGGGACGGGCCGATGAAATCAGCTCGTGAACCCGGCCACGCGGATTCGATCCCCGCTCGCGGTCAATACCAGCGGCTATGATCTGAGCCGGTATTGGGCCTCCCCTGGGTAGACTCAGCCGAAAATGAGTACGTAGTGTGATGCGTAAACATTGCCACTTTGGAGACAAGGGCGGCCGGGCATGGTATTGGCCACTCACTTCCTCGTGTGCCATGCCGGTCGTCATAGGTGCCTGCTCATAGCACTTGCCTCAACAGTCTATTCAAGGCCACATGGGAGATCTTTGTGAAGGACGCAACTGGGACGTTTGGAGGCAGTTGCCCTCCAACAACAGCGGGGGAACGACGCTCACAACAACGAGCGGCTACACCGCAGCAAGTCGTTACAGCAAAGGAGCCAAGTCAACTCATGACACCTGGGTCTCTCTCGTGACCTCCAGTCAGCATCGAGCCTTCGACAATTCACGTGGCCTCAAAGTACACCAAGTTTTACTTAACTGGATTCCTATGTCTGGGTCAAATATTGTTATCAAAATTTCGTCTACTTCCCGTTGTACAATCAATTCCACATTTTGCACACGTACTCAGATCCGGTGACAATGCATGCCTGTATCAAAATCGGCATTAATTGATCAATTAATTCGCTCCTTTAAAGCAATTTACATTTTGTATGAACGTCTTATTATTATTTATATATTTGTGTAGGTCAAAAACGCCGTGGTCCCTAAACTGTGGAATGGTCTCGCACAAAACGCAGGCGCCGCGTGTCTCAGGTGCCACTGACGTACCTCTTGACCGTGAGTTAAACAAAGTTGTTAAGACTGTCTTCTCGACAGACCTGTTCTTCACCTGAGGACGGCTGCTTGCGTTGTGGCCGAAACGTCGTGAGAATTATTTTATTATGTTTTATTATTATTATTTTATTATTTCCATTCTACGTGACTTTACCGAAAGAACCAAGAAGATGAATCCCTGCAGTCACGAAAGCTTTAAATCGAAATAAAACCGTTGTTTAAAAAAATACTTTTTTAAACGAGTTTATTACATTGCGAGACTATGACCGCAGCTGGGGGGGGGGGGGGGGGCAAAGGAATGTATCCAGCAGTGGATTGACCATGGCTGCTGCTGATTAAAATTATGTACACCGTGATCCAGATATCTTGTGACTCACAATTAATAGACCCCTGACATGTTTTGTCCCTTTGCATATTCACTTCTGTTTCAAATAAACCTCTTTTTAAAAATATTACGTTTTAGATAATTAAATGGGGCGGCGGGGGGGGGGTCACATGATATCTGGACCATCCTGTCCAATAATATGTCCCGACAGCCTGTGAGAGAACACAGGCTGTCGGGACATATTGGGAATAAAACTTCCTAATTCTCCCATGCATCTTTGTTACGACTCGATGGAGAACTTTAATTTGTGCCACGTGAAAGACTAAGTGCTTATATTTCTGGCTCAGGCACTGTGCATTTCTCACCCCAATCAATGTCTATGTGTGTGAGAGAGAGGTCTTCATTTTTACGTTTGGTTGGGTGGGTGGAGAGGGAGGGAATTAAACACATTCCTGCGGAGGGAGCTGGTAGGAACGTTGGGTTGCTCGGTCAATGGCCAGGTCAACGGCAGCATGGTGTATTCTGCAAATATGCCTGACTGTGAGGGCGGGCAAAAGCCGGCGTGAGTATGTTAAACGTTGAGTATTATAAGGGAACCACGGGGTGACCAGCCCCTCCCCTCCCCACCCAGCCCCACCCCTCCCACCCCCCACCCAGCCCCACCCTCCCCACCCAGCCCCTGCCCACCCAGCCCCACCATTCCCACCCCCACCCAGCCCCTCCCCACCCAGCCCCTCCCCACCCTCCCCTCCCCACCCAGCCCCTCCCCACCCTCCCCTCCCCACCCAGCCCCTCCATCCCCACCCAGCCCCTCCCCTCCCCACCCAGCCCCTCCCCACCCAGCCCCACCCAGCCCCTCCCCACCCAGCCCCTCCCCTCCCCACCCAGCCCCTCCCCACCCAGCCCCACCCAGCCCCTCCCCACCCAGCCCCACCCCTCCCATGTTTTGGAAGCACGACGGACGGACGGACACAATAATCCCCTGTGGGCTGGTGTAACCAGGAGGTTCCTACCAGTATAAACACGTTTTTAAACCCATCTGCCCACACGGATTGTCAGGGCAAACCATCACGCCACCTGCTGCCATTCTCATCTGGCCGGTGTGGATGTCGCTGGTTGGCTGAGTTTGACTTGGTCGTTGTGATTGGGCAATAGGGGAGATCCAGCCAATCGTGAGTCGCCCATTCGCTGCAGCAATGTGTTGTTATTGAGTGTGGGGGGGGGGGTGTTAATTTGTTTGTCAAGAGAAGTTTGGGGGGAGGGGGAAGTAACTGGAATAGTATTGCAATTTTACTGCAGCGTTTGGTACGAGCAGTATGTATTCACAGTGTGTAGAGTAGTTACAGAACAGTGCGTGATTATGAATTGAGGCAACCTCCCAATTCTTTGGGGGAGAGATTAAGAAGAAGATATAATTGTGACTTTGCCAAACTAGACTAGTACTGCACATTATTTTCCACGATTTTTTAAAGCTTACGTTTTACGTTAAAATACGTAACGGGTTTGTGATGAAGTAACGTTTTTTTTTTATGTAGAAGCATTATTGCTACCAGATATTGCGAAGTAAATGATTAAACAGACTTACAAAGGGAACAGTTAATAAGTGATCATCCTCGTGTGAGATTGTGTTGTGGTGGGAGCGGTGGCGCAGTGGTTAGCGCACTACGAACCCGGCTATCCGAGTTCGCTTCGGCACCAATGACGATTATCTGAACCAGTCCTGGGCCTCCCCTAGGTCAACTCGGCCTCAACTGAGTACTCGGCGCGGTGTATAAACATCGCCACGAGGGAGACAAAGGCGGCCGGGCCTTAATAAGCTGATCGCGAACAGCAAACTTGGCCCCCACCCCCAACAGCCCGTTAAAGCCTATACAGAGGAATAATATTATTGTTGTTGTGTTATTGTGTATACTGTATTATGGACAACTGGATAATATCTATTGTCTTTGCGTCGTTTAAAATTGTTATAAATCCGAATTTCTTAAACGAGCGGCTCCGTTGACCCTCGCAGTACCCCCCAGAGGGACCCCTCCAGCCCGCCCCCTCGCTCACCCGCCCATCCACCCGCCCATCCACCCGCCCACAACCCCGGAGACAACGCGGACGCGGGTGAGTGGCGGGGTGGGTGGGGGTGGGTGGGTGGGGGTGGGGGTGGGTGAATGGGTGGGGGTGGGTGAGTGGGTGAGGGTGGGGGTGGGGTGAGTGGGTGGGTGAATGGATGGGGGTGGGTGAGTGGGTGAGGGTGGGGGTGGGTGAGTGGGTGTGGGGGGTGAGTGGGTGAGTGGGGGTGGGTGAGTGGGGGTGGGTGTGTGGGGGGGGGGGTGCGTGGGGGACCCGGAGTGGGTGGGGGTGGTTGAGTGGGAGGGGTGAGTGGGTGGGTGGAGGGGGTGGGGGTGAGTGGGTGTGGGTGGAGGTGAGTGGGTGTGGGTGGGGGTGAGTGTGTGGGTGGGTGGGGGTGAGTGGGTGGGTGGAGGGGGTGGGGGTGAGTGGGGGTGAGTGGGTGGGTGGAGGGGGTGGATGGAGGGGGTGGGGGTGAGTGGGTGGGTGGGTGGAGGGGGTGGGGGGACCCGGAGTGGGTGGAGGCTGTAGTGGGTGGGGGTGAGTGGGTGGGGGTGAGTGAGTGAGTGGGGGTGAGTGGGTGGGTGGAGGGGGTGGGGGGACCCGGAGTGGGAGGGGGGGCTGTAGTGGGTGGGGGTGATTGAGTGGGGGGGTGGGGGGGGCCCGGAGTGGGTGGAGGCTGTAGTGGGTGGGGGTGAGTGAGTGGGTGGGGGGAGGGGACTCTCTCACGTGTTTGGGGTTAAACAAAAGGGACGGGGGGGGTGGTCGTGTGTGACTGTGCCGGAGTTGTCACATGTTTCGTGCACACAGCTACGGAAGGAAGTAAGTAGATGGGAGGGGGGCGGAAACGTGCAACATATAAACGATCGCAGCGGGGTGTGTTTTTAAAGTAAAGCGGGTGGCTCACGGGTTTTGTTGCATCGGTCGGTGGTTCAGTCGGAATCAAAGAAAGGAGCCTTAGAAGAGGTCTCACCCCAACGAGAAGAGACGACTTTGTCGATTTTTTTTTACGGTGTTGGTCGTCGATTGGAATTATTATCACTAATCGCTGCCTGCCGGTCGTCCGTGTAAAGCAAAGCACAAGGTAAGAGTCTCGAACTTAAGCATCTCGCCTCTTCTATCGCCTCTTAGACACCGGGCCGACAAAGTTGCGTTAAGTTTGACGAGAGCGCAGTTCTGTAACATCGCCGGGGAGATGTGCCAGGGTGGGACAACAACAAGAGCAGCAGCAGAGAGAGAGATGGTGGATAGACGAGACCAGCATGCACAAACAGGTTGTCTGGGTTAACGTGGTGGTGGTGGTTGACGTGGTGTAAGTATGTCACGGGCTGGGTTAACGTGGTGGTGGTTGTTAACGTGGTGGTTGTTAACGTGGTGGTGGTTGTGGTTAACGTGGTGGTGGTTGTGGTTAACGTGGTGGTGGTTGTTAACGTGGTGGTGGTTGTTAACGTGGTGGTGGTTGTTAACGTGGTGGTGGTTGTGGTTAACGTGGTGGTGGTGGTTGTTAACGTGGTGGTGGTTAACGTGGTGGTGGTTATCGTGGTGGTGGTTGTTAACGTGGTGGTGGTTGTTAACGTGGTGGTGGTTAACGTGGTGGTGGTGGTGGTTGTTAACGTGGTGGTGGTGGTTGTTGTTAACGTGGTAGTGGTGGTTGTTAACGTGGTGGTGGTGGTTGACGTGGTAGTGGTGGTTGTTAACGTGGTGGTGGTGGTTGACGTGGTAGTGGTGGTGGTTAACGTGGTAGTGGTGGTTGTTAACGTGGTAGTGGTGGTTGTTAACGTGGTGGTGGTTGTTAACGTGGTGGTTGTTAACGTGGTGGTTGTTAACGTGGTGGTGGTTAACGTGGTGGTGGTTGTTAACGTGGTGGTGGTTATCGTGGTGGTGGTTAACGTGGTGGTGGTTATCGTGGTGGTGGTTAACGTGGTGGAGGTGGTTGTTAACGTGGTGGTGGTGGTTGTTAACGTGGTAATGGTGGTTAACGTGGTGTATGTATCTGTGTGGGGATGGCAGCTCCCACGTCCCCCACACGAGTTGACCCCCTTCACCGCCACCCAGCAGCGTGTGACGTTGAACACCCACGGGCCCATGGGCCAAGGCCCTCGTCATCCAGCAGTGGATTGACTGGTGGTGGTGGAGGTGGTGGGGGGCTTTGTTTACATATCCGATACAGTACTCGTGTGGTAGTACCCCCCCCCCCCCATGTTTCTATAACTATAGAGTTATAGTTGGCATGCTTGGTTTGTCTTATTCTTTGCCGGTTGTTGATTGTAGGCCAAGCTGATGGAGGGAGGCGGGCCCTCATGTTTGTCAATGTCCTCAAGTCTTCTTGGATCTTTTGGTAAAGTCACGTAGAAGGGAAATAATAAAATTAGAAAAATAAAACATTAAAATACAATTCTCACGACTTCTACGTGACTTTACCGAAAGAACCAAGAAGATGAATCACCTGCGGTCACGAAAGCTTTAAATCGAAAAAATGTCCTGAAGCTTTGCTCGTCACAAAACATTTGCCAGGCATTGTTGGCCCACGTGGTTGCTGTTGTTGTTGTTGTTCGATGATTGAACAACACAGCTCTTATTTCTTCTTCTTCTTCTCGCCTCGTTGTCCGAGGAGGTTGCTTTGACCCGATGTCGTGTTGGTTGCAACACGAGGGGCAGTTTTCGCTTGGAGTGGTTCGTCTTGTTGGTATGATGGTTGGTTTTGTTGTGCGTGTGTGTGTCACTACACCATTGCACAATGACTTGTGTTGTTTTTTAGCAGTCTCATTGCCAATAGCTGTCATCATCATAATCAATCTATCGTGCCATCTCATTCATAATCCACCTTCGCTCCTGCACGAGAGACGATCAGCTTGCTCATGATGTACTATCAAAGATGTGACTGCACATGGCTACGTGGCGAGGTTCGTGTGCCCAAAGTCAAGTGGTGTTTGCAGGCAGGCCACCCCTCGCAAAGCTAAGCAGGCGTTTATAAACCTGGACAGTGGCTTTTGATGGGTGAAAACCATGCAAACCATGGTTAGAGGGTCGCTGTGTCGGTCTAGCTACTACGTGGTGGTCTACAGAGGGTAGTTGCAAACAAATATCCATGCATTGTTACCTACTATTCGTCGGTCTTTCACCAACCCGCAACGACCAGCGTGGTGAAGTATGTCAATCTGCCAAGTGTACATAAACCAAAAGAGGTCATTTGTATGCCTTGATAAAAATCACTGACATCACCTCAAACATACAGTACCATATTATTTAAGTACATAACAGCGTTAGTTTACACAATTGTAGGGCAATTCACCAGATGTTCCTGGGGGCTGCCCTCATCCAGCAGTGGATTGAAGGAAGGGCTTTGCTTGGGTACATTTTACATCCTCTACTAAAAGTGCTATATCGATACTAGTTTTTTTAAGACTGACAATCCATGAAAGAATAATGAATAATGTACACGCTGTTCTGCACATGTACAGCCCTGTTGTAAATCCACTGGATGTGAGGAGGGTCACCGTGGAGGTCATTGGGGTTATTCGGGCAATGCTTGTCAGCAGTGGAAGCAATAACATGTGTTGTTTGTGTGTTGGGAGGACTGTGACAACCTGTTTGTGCGTGGTGATCACCCATTCTTACCGGCGTCAACCCATGCTTAGTCGGCTTTTCCCGAAGTCTTGACGAAGATAAACTATTGCAGCGATGGATGTGGATCAGAAGCACGTGTATTAAATGCACATTAGCAAGACAACTCAAATGTATCGTGCGTAGTTGTTGATAGGACATTTTGTGAACAGTTTGAAACGCCACCGGTTTGGATGAATGTTTTCAGTCGATGTAACCTTATCGTCAGATCTTGGTCCAAAGGTCTTGTTCTGTCGCAGGAACATTTGGTGAATTGCCCTACAATTGTGTAAACTAACACTGTTATGTACTGAAATATGGTACTGTATGTTTGAGGTGATGTCAGTGATTTTTATCAAGGAATACAAATGACCTCATTTGGTTTATGTATACTGTAAGTACTTTTTTAATGTACATTTTGCCAATCCACTGCTTGATAAGGGCCTCCCCATGCCATGCTGGGTATGAAATAACCCTTTGCTTCAATTCACTAGCCTGGGTTTGAAAAAATGTGTTTTATGGTTTTATGTCCCGGTTTATTAAAAAACAGGTCCTAAAAACAAGTCTTAATGTTCAATCTGGATTAATGGCAAACCTCCTGGGTTTCAAAACAGTTCATTGAAGTAGTTTAATATATTGTAGCAGAAAAGAGGAACACATGGATTCGAGAACAAACAGGTTAAAGATAGCTTCCTGTGTGTTGCAGAAGATGTAACAAATCTTGTTTTAATCCTTCCCAGGGTTTTGCTTGTACTGTACACTAATTGTTTTTTTTGTAAATTCGTTTGAGTAGAATAGCTATTTAATGCAATTAACTTTTCTATCGTAATGTTCTCATTTATAACCGTAAACCTGTTTATTGTAGCTGCCAGTGCAGATAACTGAATGACAAATAGTTCAAATTACAGCAACATTATTGCAAAAATAAGCGTCCATATGTTCAAGTTGGTATCGTCCTATTGACTGTTGAGTCGTATAAATGAGCTTGAGCAGAACATGTGACTACGGTAGTATATGAGATGATTGACCGGAGGTTGGAGTCGTCCCACAAACAACAGTGGCAGCATTAGGAGGAATTCGTGCCGCAGAGATGGAGTGATGAACTCGGCTCCGTGTTGAACTGTTGCAATAGTAGTTGTTAATATCGAATGATGGTAGGAGATCTTGACTTGCCTGGGGAGGACTTTGTACACCAATGGATTGATCATGACTGGTGATGATGATATAATCATTTTCCTCCACGGTACCATGTCCCACTAATTTTTAAAGGGGATTGATCATGGCTGATGTATCATGGTGATGGGCTGATGGCTTTATCAGAATGAGGCAATGCATTGCATTACAAATTACTTAAAGGGGCACTTAAAATGTGTTAGATTGACATACGAGATCATTTACACTGCCTTATCTTGACAGTATGTGCTAATTGCACAGTACGTATTCTGACGTTCAAAGAAAGGGATCATAAAAAATACAAACATTATTTTTACAGTAATTACAACACGTCTACTGTGCTAAAGTCATGTTCTTAAACATATTGACCATCAATGAACATGCTTCTAACATGTATACAATTGAGGTGAAACGGTGTTTTTACTTTTTTTTTTCATATACTGTATATAAATGTGGTGGGTTTTTTTCTTTTTGGTACAGTGGTGTTCATCGTGTGTGCATGTATGGCCATGCACACCGTGCTGTCAGTAGGTGCTGAACCAACACTTCCTAACAATTGGGGACACCACAACTCGGATAGAGAACATAATGTTTTAGTTAATGGACACTGTCGTCACAATGAAGTCCAAAGGTCTTGTTCTCTCAGGCACATTTGGTGGATTGCCCACAAGTGTGTGTACGTACTAGGGTTGAACGATTTGGGGGAAATATCTAATTGCGAGTTTTACTGACAGATATCACGATTTGATTTGCGATCAAATTTGTTGAAGTCAAGTTTCAGTTCAATATTCACTGTGTAATAGATTTAAAACATGCGATGGAGCATTAGCACATGAAACCATCAAAATATGAACTGCTCTATATATTCTAATGCAAGGATGAGAACTTTAAAGATATGAATTGCTTCCAACCTGTATTCATTTAAATGTTTTAATTGAAATAGAACAATCAAAAACAGAACAATTCTTAAGTTCAATAAATAAAGTTATAATAATAAAAAAACAATTCCAATAAGAAAGTTACAGGACTTTTCAAATCGCAAAAAATCGCAGCCTTTGCGATTTCATAATCGCATTGTTTCAAATTTCGATTTCAAATCTATTAATCGTTCAGCCCGAATACATATACTGTGTGTACTGTAATACTACCCTTCATGTCGTGTCAGATATGCTGATCAAGGAAGAACGTTTCCCTCGTTGTTGTAGTTACACTGGAGTTCTTCTTGGTTCTTTCGGTAAAGTCACGTAGAATGGAAATAATAAAATAATAAAAATAAACCATTATAAAATAATTATTTTATAATGTTTT